TGAGTTCGTTGGCGCAATTTTTGAGTACTATTGCGGGAATGCCATCCGGACCCATTGCTTTGTTTGTATCCAGCTTTTTTAGGGATTTTCGTATTTCTCTGTGACAAAAGGGTACCTCTGGCATACTATGGGAAACCCTTTCAATGAACGGTGGAGTTTTTCCGTTTGGCACTGTTAGGTTGGAGTTGGAGGAAAACATTTGGGCAAGCATATTGGCTTTTTCCTCTGATGTTGTGGCTAAGTGATTATTTTTATCTGTAAGTGGTGGTATGGATGACTTGGTGAAGTTAGATCCAACAGCTTTTGCAAGAGACCAAAAAGACCTAGAACTACTTGGACAATTCAGCAACCTGTTTTTTATTCTTTGATTGTATGTTTCTTTAGCGGAGTCAATAGTAATTTTGCAACTATTTCTGGCTTCTATAAATTCTGTGTGGTTTTGAGCGGTTTGTTGTCGTTTCCAAAGGTTATATGCTCTGTGTTTTTTCTGTACAGCCGTTTGACATTGGCTGTTGAACCAAGGTTTTGCATTAGCTCTACGTTTAGTTGTATGTGGGATATATGCGTCCATTCCAGATAAGATTACTTGTGTTATTTCATTACAGCAAATAGTGGGATCAGCTGTTTTGAAGCAAACCTCTTGCCATGGAAAATCCAGGTAATACTGTTTTAGGTCATTCCATTTTGCCGATTTATAGTGCCACATTTTACGAGGAAGTGGTTGTAGGCTTGGTGGGATGAGCATTTCGCACTTTGTTATTATAAGTTTATAGTTTATGATCGGACGAACCAAGTGGAGCATGTACTTGAATTGTGTACGAGTCAGGATTGGTGGTTAGGAACAAGTCTAAAAGCGCTGCAAATTCGCCCCTTTCTGAGATACGGGTAGGTTCATCGACAAGCTGCGTTAGACCACAACTTATGGCAAAAGCTTCTGCTTCTCTGCCTTCGTTATCTGTTTTGTTGTGGTGTTTCAGCCAGGGTATATTGTGAACGTTGAAATCGCCTAAAAAGACAATTTCCGCCTGTGGATAGTTTAACTGTATACTATCACAGCTTTCGGATAATGTCGCGAAAAAGTTTTGGTAATCAGTGTTACTTGGCTGTCGGTAGAGGCAGCAGATAAACTTGGTCGATGACTTTGAGGTGAATTTTAGCCATATGATATCAAGGTTCGCTGGTTCTAGCTTCTCCTCTCGATGACATGAAAGGTCATTTTTAATGTACACACAGATCCCAAAATTATGTCGAAATCGGTGGTGTAGGTCATAGCCGGGATAAAGATAGTTCACAATAGGTGTTGCAGAACTGATTTTAGTTTCAGTGAGAACAAGGATGTCAGGTCTTTGTTCTTCAAGATGTTGGTGAACTGAATTCATATATGTACTTATTCCTCTTATATTGCAAAAATCAATTCTGAGTTGAGTTTTTGATCTTCTCTTTATATCTTTGCATGAAGGACCCCCAGGATCACCCGACGCCCGGAGATCCGAGTGGTCGGGTATTTTACCTCCGGAATATTTTTATCCTGGAGGCGCCATCATGCTATCTGTTACTCATTGTTGGAACCGGACTGCCAGCGCAGTAGCGGAACGTGGTGATACCACTTAGCGCTACTCAATTCTGGCATGGTGGTATCTCACCGGTCGACGCCCAATGAGTAAAAAGCGTCTACCACCTACTCTTAGTTTATTCTCTGTAAAACTCTGGTATGTAACAGCTTCATGAGCAAATAAAAATATATGCCGTACCAATAAGGAATAGCAACATTCCAAAACAAAATCGCACGCAAAGTCATTGGTGAAGTATTACTGTGTATTTTACATTCAAAAAATCAGAATGCCATTATTTTTGGCTTTTGCATTATGAAATTTTAGTAAATTATTGCTAAAGGCTTCAGGAATTTATAGAAAAATACGTAACACTAATAGGAATACCAGAGTTCTCCTTAAGGAAAGTCAAAATTGTTGGTAAAAATTATATGGCAATCATTGATTAGGTCTATCACATTAGAAAAACTCACAATTCTGCTATCCTCAGCTTTTTCTCTGTAAAACTCTGAACTCTGGTATGCTACAGCTGGAAGCTTCATGAACAGATAAAAAAATATGCCGTTCTAATAGAAATAACATTCCAAAAAAAAAAAAAAAAGTCTCACGCTGTCATATGATAAAATATCACTACATTCACTACTGAGTGTATTTTACATCCGAAAAATTAGAATGCCATTATTTTTGGCTTTTGCATTATGAAATTTTGGTAGATTACTGCTAAAAGCTTCAGGAATATATAGAAAAACACGTAGTACCAATAGGAATGCCAACTTTCCATAAGGAACGTCGAAATTGCAGGTAGAATTCATATGGCAGTCATTGATATGTTCCGTACATTAGGAATATTCACATTCTGCTATCCCCAGCTTTTTCTCTGTTAAACTCTATGTTATAACTGAAAGCAAAGTTGAAAGCTTCGTGATCAAATAAAGAAATATGCGGTACCAATAGAAATAGCAGAATTCCAAAAAAAAAAAAAAATCGTACGCAAAGTCATATAGTTAAATATCACTGAGTGTATTTTACAGTCAAAAAAATCAGAATGTCATTATTTTTGGCTTTTGCATTAGGAAATTTTGGTAGATTACTGCTAAAAGCTTCAGGAATATACAGAAAAATACGTGACACCAATAGGAATAACTACTTTCCATAAGGAACGTCAAAATTGCAGGTAGAAATCAATAGCAGTCATTGATATGTTATGTTCATCACATTAGGTAAATTCACGATTCTGCTATCCTCAGCTTTTTTCCTGTATGTTACAGACTGGAAGCTTCATGAACAAATGAAAAAATATGCGGTACCTATACTGACCAATAGGAATGCCAACATTTCAGAAAAAAAAAAACAGAAGTTATATGGTAAAGTATCACTATGGCTATTTTACATTCAAAAAATCAGAATGTCATTATTATTGGCTTTTCCATTATGAAATTTTGATAGATTACTACTAAAAGCTCCAGGAATATATAGAAAAATATGCGACACTAATTTATTTATTTATTTATTCATTACAAACTCTACAGATTTACATCCAGTTACAGAGTAGGGTAGAAGACTAACCTAAGTAAAAGCAAAAATATAAAGTAAAGATTTACCAAGAGAGTTACTTAACATTAAAATCTACATTTGTAAAAATATATCATTAAGTATTAATTTCAGCCTACTCACAGAAGTTAAATTCCACATATGAAATTGTAAGCGCTTTTGGTTGTAGGTATAATTTACACATTACAATAACAGGTGAGTTGTTGTAGTAATTAGTTCGAGTATTATCAGTATATAAGCTCAAAGGATTTCGTGTTCTATATGTCAGAGCATAAAATTTAATTTGGTTTAACAAATAAGGAGCATATTTATCATGTTATTTAATATTTCATAAAGAAATATAATTGTAGAAACTTTCCTCCTGCCTTCAAGCGTTTGTATATTATGAGCTTTCATGATTTCTAATTTTGGTATATGCATCGTAGTGTAAATATCTCAAAAATTTATTTTGAATTTTTTCAATAGGTACCTACTATATTTATGGTTCTCATAACACGGAACACGGGCTCCATATTATAGAACAATACTCTAATATACTCCTAACATATGAAAAATACAGAGTTTTAACACACAATATTGAGCTCTCTGCAATTTCTGACAATAAATCCATACATATTAGATGCCCTACTTGTTATGTCATTTATATGACTTCTGAATGTAAGCTGGGTGTCAAATATTACCCCAAGATCCCGCATTTCTGCAACCCTAGCCAGTGCCCTTTTGTTCATTGTATACTGCTCATAGTTAAAATGCGTTTTTCTTCGACTAAAACTAAGCACAAAACATTTGTCAATATTAATTTGTAATTTATTTTTAATTGACCATAGACATATTTTGTTTAAATTTTTCTGAACATACTGACAGTCATTGTAGTATTGTTAATAGGAATACCAACTTTCTATAAAGAACATCGAAATTGCAGATAGAAATCGCATATGGCAGTTATTGATATGTTCATCACATTTGGAAAATTCACATTTCTGCTATTTTCAGCTTTTTCTCTGTAAAACTTTGGTATGTGGTATTTAACAGTTGAAAGCTTCATGAACAAATAAAAAAATATGCGGTATCAATAAGAATACCAACATTCTAAAAAAAAAAAATCAAAATCGCACACAAAGTCATTATGATAAAGTATCACTGACTATTTTACATCATCACATTAGGAAAATTCACGATTCTGCTATCTTCAGCTTTTTTTCTGTATGTTACCTACAGCTGGAAGCTTCATGAACAAATAAAAAAATATGTGGTACTTACCAATAGGAATGCCAACATTTTAGAAAAAAAAAACAGAATTCATATGGTAAAGTATCAGTAAGGGTATTTTACATTCAAAAAATCATAATGTCATTATTATCGGCTTTTGCATTATGAAATTTTGGTAGATTACTACTAAAAGCTCCAGGAATATATAGAAAAATATGCGACACTAATAGGAATACCAACTTTCTGTAAGGAACATCGAAATTGCAGGTAGAAATCATAGTATGGCAGTTATTGATATGTTCATCACATTTGGAAAATTCACATTTCTGCTATTTTCAGCTTTTTCTCTGTAAAACTTTGGTAGGTATATTACAGTTGGAAGCTTCATGAACAAATAAAAAAATATGCGGTATACCTACCAATAGGAATACCAACATTCCAAAAAAAAAAAATCAAAATCGCACACAAAGTCATTATGATAAAGTATCACTGACTGTATTTTACATTCAAAAAATCAAAATGTCATTATTCTTGGCTTTTGCATTATGAAATTTTGGTAGATTACTGCTGGGGTAGCTACCTAATGATTTGGATTATTTAAAACTTTGAAACCCGGAAAATGGCTGATTTTTTTTTTTAATTCAAGTTCAAAATAAAACATGTATTTGATCTTGTTCAATTTTTATTAAAGTTCATCGAGACATTTTCATTGATTCAACCAGGATTGAATAAGTCCCCTTATTTTCGTCCTAGCTTCCGTCAACTGGGGCAAATCCTTATCGGTAGAAGGATACATATTTGCATCGTGCGCGGCACCTAAAATAAAATACATTACAAATAAGATTTGAGACGCAAACATTCAAAAACCTTGAATAAAAATTGCTGGCGCATCTTCATCAGTTGAATTAGTGATGCCCAGTGTACGCCATGGGTCCTTTGAACCATTTACAAAAGCCACATTACTGACCTAAAACATAAAAATAGTTCTACTCTTATAAATAAACCACTTTATCTTATACATACCTTGATATCAAGTCCACCATAATTTACATTAGTCCTCTCAATCGCCCGATTGACAAAAGTTTCATTGAATTGGGACCCAAAAATATCAGTACATTGTTTCAAATACCACTTAAGGGGAATATCCCCGAATCCAACTTCTAAAGTTGAAGTTTGAAAGTATCCATATTCGTTGCAAAATTGATAAAACTCTTGACGTCCACCAAGCGCTGCCTCCCAAGTCTCATTTCTCATATCATTAAGCAAGGTCGAATAACTATAGTCGATACATGTTTCTCCAAATGCGTTCAGCATTAAAGAATTCACTGAAGCCAATCTGTCGATTTCTTGTTTAGAGACATCGGTCATTATATTACAGAGAGTGTCTAAAGTTATGTTGGCTAAAGGTGTATTACGAGAACTGAGCCTGTTGGCTTTATTAAACTGTGCAACGACTGCAAAATTATCAGATAGAATACTGAAAAAACTAGAAATATCATCTTCATTGTCCATAACTTCTTCCAGAGGCGTACAGAGTTGGAATAAAGAAGTCAAATTGGTTGCACCCGCTTTATCCTTCAAACGTTCTGCCATTTGTGCAGTTCCAGCTTGCAAAGCACTCAAACAATTTACGTCTGTTTCGTTTAAAACTTCAGCAATATTTTTGAAATAATCTATACAATAGAAATAATATGTGGTATTACGAAATTATATTATATTATTTAGAAACAAACCTTGAAAATCTACAACAGCTAACATAGGTGCACTACTACTAACAGCACCATGAATTAGGTGAGGATATTTCAATCTGAGAAAGGCACCGTAGTTAGCACCTGCGAAGGCGATCCATTTGACCTAGAATGTTACTTCATAAAGTAAGTTCTTTGTAGTTTTTCATATACTGAAGTGGTTAAAAAATATTGATGGAATTTGAGTCACATTTTGAAGAGCATCAAAAGTACACAATTTACATGAAAAATACATAGAAGTTCTGCTATGACTGAAGCTCTTCCTCCCTTGAGTCAACAATATCCAAAAGAATATTGTATGAAAAATGCTGCCTGTTACATCTCAATTTATTTTCAAATGATTAGATTAGTGACAAGAAAAACAGAAATAGTTATACTTACATCCTCTGCTAAATTATGCTCTTTATTCATTGCTACAACAAATTCAGCCAAATCAGCTAAGGCCTGTTCAGTAGACATATATTTCATATTCTCCACGCTAACGTTTTCCGTGGGTCGACTTTTACCAAAATACCGATGCTCTACCTAAAAAGACAAATTAAACAACTTCTCTAGATTCAAATATGAAAATCACCTCGAATAAAATAGCATTAAACTGTTGAGCGTATTCATACCATTCTCCGTTGGTCATCCATTCATCTGAAGCTTCGTTTTGACCTTCGATGAATAAGAAGGCAACGTCTCGTTTGTTTTCGTCGAAGAATTCATCGTTGACAAAATATCTCTGAAAATTCCTTAGATGTAGGCGTTAAAATATCAAAAATTTATTTACCTGTTCCCAAGTATTGAAGTTCAGATTATCGAAATGATCTAAGGTTTGATTAAACCATTTTGTAAAATTTTTAGACTCTTGACATAAACTACTGCCAGTGAAATACAAAACTAAACACAAAAAAAACAGATTCTTCATTTTTTTGATGCTTCGTTTAATTAGTTGAGGAGAAAATGAAATTAATTTATCGGGTCAAGTATTATTTATACCTACCTGCCTTCTGTTTTAATCTTTTAATTTGAGTATTTAGATAGGCATAGTTGAGCGTGGTTGAAGTTATCTAACAGCAACGATATCAGACCCAATAGACGGCAAATCAGAGCCTATTTTCACCATATACACCTATTTTCACCATATACTTCACCCCCTCGCTCCTCATATGGAAAGTGTCAGATTAAAAACGACGGACAATAGAAGATCAAATATTTAAATAAATCCTTTATTTATTTAATAATTTTTATCTTAATTAGTAGGTACTTTCAAAAAAAACCTATAAATTTTTCTAGTTTTGCTGATTTTTACTTTTCAATTGTATTTTTTATCTGAAATCCTATATAACAATTATTAGATAAAGGTTAAAGCACATAAAAGATATCTAAAACAAAAAGCGTGTTTAAGACGTCATATACATATCTCACATATCTGGGAGAACATTTTGATCTTCACATTTTTCGAAAGATTTGATTCAACTTCATAATTCTGTTTTATTCTTCAAAAAAGTACCTATTCACATATATTATTCAAGATTTCCTTCCTTATGATTATTTGTTATTCCCATATAATAATTTTTTTAGGCGACTGTCACAAAAAGATTAGTTTTACGGATTCAATATCATCCCTAAAGTAGGTATATCTTTTTTGGCCGCATTTACTTTACGGCCGCATTTACTTCACGGCCGCATTTGCTTTATTACTTTACGGCCGCTTTTACTTCACGGCCGCTTTTACTTTACGGCCGCTATTTTGGTGAAAATAAACAAACAATCAAAAACGCAGTGCCGTAACCATCAACACAACCAATAAACAATTTAGTTAGCATCCACAATGAAACCAAGTTTTTAATTTTAGCTCTATCCAAATTTCCACATAAAATGCTAAAAAAAAATGGCATGATAAAAAATTTGGGAGAAGTATTTCCTTGCATTTTTTTCGGAAAATGCCAAAATTAAATAATCCTCAACGTTATCAGTGGCGTAGCTAGGCGTTGGCGACGTCGGCGACCGCCGACGGCCTCGCGCTCTAAGGAGCCTCGCAAAAAATAAGTTACCGAACCTAAAAATTGACACTTTTCGATTTTCCAAAATAAAACGTAGAGAACAAATAAACCTAATCCTATACGAAACTTCTAAATATCATAGATTTCGCTAAAACTTATCAATTCTGCTGCAAATTAACCTAGAACTCTCAAGTCATATGGTTTCTATTTTTTTCGGTAGATTGTCGGAAAAAAAATAATATTTTTGACTAGGTAAATAAGTATTGTTATCAAATAGCATGCTTACTACTACTACTTATACCATTGATATACTACGAGAGCCCGTGACACAAAAGCCTCAGTCATCTGTTAGAAGGCAATTTTTTGGTGGAACGGTAGGCCAAGTCCTCGGCCAACTGAAAAACGTATTGGTTGGCGGGTTTCGGTGTGCAGGAGCTGAGGGGTGGATGAATGAACACTACCCCAAAATAAGGCTTTCTGCCTCATGAGTCAGAAGCTTTTTTTGTGTTGTGAATGAATAATATGAACCTACTGAGGCCTGAACAGAAACGGTTGGCGGGCCTTCCCCCTCCCTTCACCATGCCCACCGCGTTTTAAGTAAAGTTCGCGAGGGAAGTGTTTACCCCACAAGTCTGAAGGACGAAAAGAAGTGGAAATTAAACATTTCCACTTGCTCGTTCGTTCTGCGCTGGGTTGGCGCTCTATTGTTAATAATATAATTAATTAAGTTTTTGCGAAGTTGTAGTTGTTTTTCTCTCGTTATAATTTACTATTACAGCACAAGACACGCCCCCAACTTAGTCATTGCAAAATATAATCGCTCTCAGCGCGATTTTACTAAATATAAACTATTAGAGCACAGGAGACGCTAGCCCTTGACGTAATTGCAAAATATAATCGCGCTCAGCACATTCCTGCAAAATCTAATCGTTTGTAGCATGACGTGGCGGATCTAACCTCAAATTGTACAGGGTGATCCAGTATAAAGCGAACACCCCCTACCTTTTCGCTAAAAAAATTTTTTTGGAAAAAATCAAGATAGCCATTTGGTGTATTTTTTTTCTAGGAATTTGAAAACGTTTTTCGAAATTTAATTAGATTTTTCGTTGAAGCGCTGTGACCAAAAAAGTAATTTTTTTAAATGGAATAACGTATATTTAAGTCAATTTTTCAAACGCCCCTATTTTTCTCATTTCAAATATATAGTTTTTTTTATCTTTATTTTAGTAATTTGCGATATATTCTCACTTTAAAATTCACATGAAAATAGCCGAGAAGGTATCATAAAACATAATAACCCGTAGTTTTATTAAAGGTGAAATTATTTAGATTTACCTTGATATACCTTTTCGGCTATTTTCATTTGAATCTTGAGTGAGAATATATCGCAAACTACTAAAATAAAGATAAACACTATACAGTGAGTTCATAAAGTCCCGCATAAATTCATTATTTTGAAAATGGTAGAATTTTTGAAAAATCGCTCGTACACGTCAATTTTGTTTTTTTGTTTGAAATTTTTCGATATATTTTTTATCATACAGGGTGTCTCAAAAATAGATTTGCTGGTATCAACTTTATTTTTTCAAATGGTACCCCCTGTATATTATGACATTTCTGGTTTTTGCGGAAAATTCTAGACATATTTCATGTACAATGTCATATACCTATCTTCAACTGTTTCGGAAATATTAACAGTTGAAAATTGACTTTTTCGCATCTTTGACAGACTGTAAAACCTGAACGGTTGATTTTACAACAAACTCGATAATACATTTTTGTCTTAGTTTTGCATAAACTATCATTTCACACCAACTTTGAAGTTAATCCATGATCAAAAATTCCGGTTAAATTTAATTTCCGGTTTAATTCAAAATTGGTGTCAAATGATAGTTTATGAAAATCTAAGATAGGAATGTAAAATCGCTTTTCCTCCAAAATTAACCGTTCAGGTTTTACAGTCTGTCAAAGTTGCAAAAAAGTCAATTTTCAACTTTCAGTATTTCCGAATTAGTTGAAGATAAGTATATGACATTAAACATGAAATATGTTTAGAATTTTCCACAGAATCCAGAAATGTCATAATATACAGGGGGGTACCATTTAAAAAAATAAAGTTGATACCAGCGAAGCTATTTTGGAGACTCCCTGTATGATGAAAAATATATCGAAAAATTTCAAACAAAAAAACAAGATTGACGTGTCTGAGCGATTTTCCAAAATTCTACCGTTTTCAAAATAATGAATTTATGCGGGACTTTATGAACTCACTGTATATATTTGAAATGAGAAAAATAAAGGCGTTTAAAAAATGGATTTAAATATAGGTTATTCCATTTCAAAAAATTACTTTTTTGGTCACAGCGCTTCAACGAAAAATCTAATTAAATTTCGAAAAACGTTTTCAAATTCCTAGAAAAAAAATACACCAAATGGCTATCTTGATTATTTAAAAAAAAAATTTTTTAGCGAAAAGGTAAGGGGTGTTCACTTTATACTGGATCACCCTGTACTTGTTGTTAGAAGGTAATTATTATTGTTAGTGATCCCATTAAGAAATATTTAAAATGTTTCCCTTTAAAATAATAATTCAGCACCTAAACTAGGGAGCAAAAAATTTTCAAACACACACATTTCAATTAAATGTCGTTTATGTCAACATAGTCTATTATAGAACTCTGCAAACTTATTAGTGTGGTTTCTGTGGTTTTAAGGTGTAACGTTTCTGGTTACTAGGAGAAGGACATATTATCCATTCACAATCCGATGTCCACAGGTACAGGTAAAATGTATCACCTTTCAACGCTATTTGATAGGGAAAGGTGATAAATTCACCTGTACCTGTGGACATCGGATTGTGAATAGGATATATACAGTCACGTTATTAAAATAGGTAGGTGCAGGTTTGCAATATTAGGCAGTATCCTAATATTAGGCCCTTTTCCTCTACATGTGCCATCACAACAGCTTTAATAATAATAAATAAATAAATAAAATAAAGGAAAACTAATAAAAGTTCAGCCGACTGCTCGCAGTTGCTACATTTTTTCTGGTAGCAAAACGGAAATGACCGGAATGAGGGTGGTTACGCAAATGGGCTTAAGAAAAGGAACTTAGTTTCTACCTTATAGGGCTGAGAATGCCAGCTAAACTCCAGTCGGGAGTGGTCGAGGGTTAAATCAGAGGAGAACTTTAGAAAATAGGTATAATTTTGGACGCCACCCGTTTTATGGCCCTAAAGTAAGGTAGAACGTTAGCTGAAAAAAAAAACATCTAAAACGGGAAACCTAAAGGATTTCACCCAATTTGGAAATCAAACTCTGTCGTAAATAATAAAGGGGCATTTTATTCAAGTTTGCCGAGATTCACTGTAAGTACTTCATTTAAATATTTTCAGTACCTTTAGGTAATTATTATTATCAAATCGGTATTATTCAAATCAATTTAAGTAAATTAGATGAAATTTTTGAATACTCTCTAACTAAATAAAATAGAAACAGAAAGGTACCAACGCAACGTCCTTTGCATATATGCTTCGGCTAACACGGTTGAAATATTTATAAGAAAAATTAATAACTAATTACTTAAATAAGGTAAAATATATATAACTAATTACTTGATTTATTTGATTAAGATTCAACTATAGATGATTTATGTACTAGTGATTTGGCTTTTCAGGGTGTTTAGGTCGATTCCGTGTATGTACGAAGGGCTTTTCGAGCCTGGGACGGTTAAG